CTGAGGAGCTGAGTGTCTCCTGCTGCATATCTTACAAGGAAATATAGAAAGAAAGGTTTTCAAGTACCTGCTCATGGTCATAATAATGTACAGGATTAGAGCTGTAGCTGCGTTTAGCTTCACTCACCTTTTTGAAACTGGAGTTAAAACTGAATGTATGTATCAGATAGTTCAAAATGGTTTTTACTAGAGTACTGCAACCTAAAACTTAGTAAACTAGTAAGTTGATCAGGATCTAATTCCAGAATTGTAGGGATTTTAGGAACATTGTATTAAGCACTGTAGGTCGTGCTGGTTTGCTTAGATAAAGACACAGGACTGTACATGATGGATTTACTCTATTGTACTTACTACCTACCTTCACTTCTCCCCACCTCTCCAAATTATGGTTCCATATAAGATCGATTAGTGTAAACTGCTGCTCTTTGGATTTAAGAGGAACAATTTTCTGCAGCTCCTTCACACTGGTGTGAAAGGAAAAAAAATACCAAACATTCCGCTTAATTAAGACCTAAAGAGGCGGTGCAAACTTTTGATGATTAATTGAAGCATGCTTTAGACTGATGCATATTTAGTTATTATAATGTGATAATTTTATCTTGTTATACAAACTACTCCCTTTGGGAACATGATTTAACACTGCAAACACTCTGTGTTTATTGCATTGTTCATTATGAAAAATACACAGGCTAAAAACCACAAGGAGATGTAACTGAACAGTGTCTGTGTGGTGGGTGCAGGGAGTAATTCTTCCACCTGTAATGACATGACCCAGGGGCAGAAAAACACAATATTGTAACTCCCACAATAGCTCTCCCTATGAAGAGTTGAGATCTCACAAAAGTAGAGGCGGGAAATTTAGACCTTGTACAGCATGTGGAAGGATATATCTTTATATTACCTGATCTAATTACAGAGGACAGCAATATGTACGTTCTGCTGAATATTCTCCTGCTACTATTCAGTTGTGTCAGTGCCATCTCCTCTTTGTCTCACCTGTAGGAGTGCCCATGCTACCTGTCATAAGTGTGACAGATCTGAGAATATGTGAAACACTTTGCAAAAGCAGGTCATAAAGTTGAAGGCCCAGATGGAGGAAAAAAAAATGCAGTTATTAAAAAGTATTTTCTTTCACTTCAGAATGATCAGTGCCAGGTCTTGCAAATTATATTTCTGTACTTTACAAACATGTGTCAGCATAGCTATGTGAGTCCTTAAAGTGATGGTGAATGATCTTCATCAGAAGAACTGCTCCAGTGAGAGCTCATGTGATGGACACAGGCATGGTGTCAGGATGAGCTCATGTTACTTTAAGTAGATATACTAAGCCAGAGTACCAGCAAAAGTTTGATTATGAGCGAAGAAGAACATTGCCGATGTAGTATACTCATGCAATTATCATGGAGAAGCTTTCTTAGTGCAGTTCTAATCGGAAAAATATTAAAGACTGAACACAGATAAGCAGTCTCAAATTGCTGGATTTGAAATTTCCACTTCTCTCTGATCTTGTTGCTTCAGGTTCTTCTTACTGAGTGTTCTAGGGACAGGAATTTGATACATTTTCCTGAAAGAAGGGCGGGAATCTGTTAAAGTGATTTTCAAACAATATGGCCTTGAAAAACGAAGGTCTGTGAAAAAATGAGAGGAATTTTGTCTTGAATGGAATGCAAGATTTGAATTTTTGGTTTCATATTATTTCAATTTGTGTTTAGCAAATGACAGCAGTTAAATCCTAAGACTCTGACTTTACGTATTTCACACAGTCTTACTGGTTTAAGCCTTAGTTTTTGTTTCCTACTTCTGGTAGAAACACAGGAAGTATTTCTTTTCTGTTGACGTTGCAGTCATCTTTTTTTTGGTCACTAAGCTTAATACACTGTAACAAAGCATCCCTGTTAGTTATTTTCACAAGGCCTGCTCAGATCTCTACCACAACTGGTGCGAAGAAAGCAAGCACACAGCTTTGGACCTTTACCGTTGTCTCCAGCTGTCATCCACACCCATAGGCCATAGCTCTGTACCTCTCCTCAGCACAAAGCATAGGCCCTTTTCTCTGCTGTTCTTAACTTCACTCAGAAATGAAAGAAAGGATTTGATTTTAGACCAAGTTTTCCTCGTGCTGGGCTGGACAGGGCTCCTACTGATGGTCCATAATCCTGTTACACTGGATATTTTCTATTTCACTTGATGAACACTCTTAAAAAAAATTAGAATTGCATGGAAAATTGACTTGGGCAAACCTACACCTGAGGGAGATTACTTAAATAGTGATGCATTAGTGTACTGTCACAGGAAGTGCATGCTCTAAACACTCTTCTGAAGTACTGGTGATTCCTGGCTGCTTCACATGGCCATACTCAGTTAATCCTTTTGTAGCTGTGTTCCTGAGTCTGTTAAATTGAAGAGGCATCTAGTTTTATTATTATTGTTACCTGTCACTTCCTGGAAGTGCAGACAGTGACTGGAAGTAGTAGTTTGTAGACCATTCTCTGCTGTTTTATTGACTGTCAGATCCATGGACCACAAGTGAAGCAATGCTCTTCAAAGGAGTCCCCATGAGGTGGTGGTAAAATTTTGTTGGTCAGAGCATGGCAAGACAGCAACTTGACATAGTAGGCCCCTCTCCCTCTTTCCTCCTCTCCTCTCCTTGCCAGGATGTATCTTAGAGAAAGTCTTTGGTAGAAGGAGGTGGACTGAATCTTACCGACCTGCATAACCTCCTGCAGAAAAACGCACAGCGTGGCTTTTCCGTGTAAACAGTTGCCGGTGGGAGCATGTGTAATTGAAAATGGACAACTGTGTGGATCTTTCTGATCATTCATGGGAGACAGTTCATGAGGATCAGTGAACAGGAGCTGAATGATAGCTGAGGTGTTCTCCCTATCAAGCCACTCCTGAAAGCCCTGAGATTTCCAGTGGTGGAGCTCTGTGTTTCCCCTTAGAAACTGTGCCCCAGATGAGACAACTTACTTCAAAAAGAGCTATTCCAGAACCTAATTTGCCAGTGAACTCTCTTTCAGCTCTGTAATATTCTCTTTTCATCTAAGAGAGTTACTCGCACCAGAAATGAAGGCTATTAGAAAGGTATCACTGGTAGATCTTCTCTTTTCCAGAGATAAAATACTTCTTATCAGTAGGTGAATAAATGTTGCTGTTATCTGAAACAAGAGTCTACCGTCTGGTTCCTTTGATTCAGAGGATCTTCTGTTGCCCTGATACATCCAAAGAGGCAGGTTCAGTCTGTAAGGAATTGGTTTATTATGGTATAAAAGTATCCGAATCAGGGTCCTTTTGTAAAAGCTTAGTATTTTAAAATGGCTCAGGATAGAAATGGGAGGAAGAGCTCTTGTTCTGTGCTGAAGTAGTTAGCATCGTGGACAAGACTTGTCTGGAGGGAAAGCTGCAATGACCCTGTGCAACACCACCATAGCAGCACCCTGTGTGCATGGTTGATATTACAGCCAGTTCAGGGGCAGGCTTTTTGACCCTGTAGATGGCTAGTGATAATTTTGGCCATAGTGGTTTGATTTCCCTTGATGTGCAGTGTATGAGGGTATTTATAGTATTGGCAAATCCCACAATAAAGGGCAAGTTATAAAATACATTAAACACAAATCTGTGTTATAACTTAGCCTTAAATATTGGTTTAAAGGTAGACAGTCTGATTAAAACTAAGAGGTCATTATTTTACATTGTAGAATTTTATTTGTAGCTGTAAATCATAACACAATTTGTCAAAGGAAAAAAGTTATTAAACTGGCAATATTTATTCCAATAAGGTGAGTAAAATGCAGCACGTAGTTCTGAGTTATGATAGTCAGGGAAAGGAGCCAAATCACTCTGCTAAAAATTAGTTTGCCAATAATTTTACAGAACGATGACAGCGTAGCTTCAAAAACAAATCCTTTATAGGGAAATAGGATGGCTGCATGACAGAATCTCTGAGCTATGAAATCTCCACAGCTCATGGACCAGGAACTGCTTTAACAGTTAGTCTTCAGGGATTTTTTTTTCCAGAAATTAGACAATGGCTGCTGTCTGTAACTGAAAGGTCACTCTGTATCATAAACTGGACATAAGAACTAAAGAATTCTAAATTTTAAGTCAGAAAGATTTCTGCTAACTTATTACCTTGATCTATTCAGTAGGCTTAACTATTCACTACCCTTGTCCGTGAAGCTGAGGGGGGAATGATGACCACACAAGGATATTGCTGCACTTTAGCAAATAAGTCCTGAGGTCTTTTTACATGGCAGAAGGCATTACATGCCACATTCGTAACACACATTAGAGAAGAGCTTGAAAGCAGCTTGGGAACTCTGCCTGAATTAAAATTTGACCGATGAGCATAATGACTGGAAAATAATGTGGCAGATTTTGCCACAGTGCTGCATCTTCTGTCTTGCTCAGGTCTGTGTTTCTGTGACTGCTGATTTCACACAAAAGCTCCGTGTTTTGTATGCTAGTCATTATTTCAAAACTGCAGAAAAGGGGCATTCCATGTTCCTTCCTCCTATTTAGAAGAGAGTTTGTGTTAAGAGACCTGCCTTGGTGCCGTCTCTTCTGGCTGTGTTTTATCACCAGCTTGCTGAGTAGAATATCTCAGGGGCTCACTACTGCAGACTGTAAGTAGCAAGAACAAAGCAGCAATACTCAGCCTCCAGTCTTGGTTACTCATTTAATAAGGAGTTGTGTGCTCTTGAACATGCTAAAAATTTCTCGAGATTTTCAGAGATTTTCAGCAATGCACCATTTGAAGCTTATCATTTTTTCCAGCCATTTTAGAAGCTTTGCCAGTCTGCCAAGGCTGGCTGGTATAGGTCTCCTGCTGCCTGAGGATGAAGCTGGTGATCACAGGCATGCACAGCTCTGCTCTCTGACAAAGAGGAAGTTAGAAATAAGATGAACCAGTGCTATTTGTATCTAAGAGTAAGTTGTGCAGACGTCCGAGGAAAGAGTTTGCATCTCTTGTAAACATTGTTCTTATATTTTTGTTGTAGAAGATGATGTGTCAAATGTACAAATAATGTGTGCCTGGTGCCAGAAAGTTGGAATCAAGCGCTATTCCCTGAGTATGGGAAGTGAAGTGAAATGCTTCTGCAGCGAGAAGTGCTTTGCAGCTTGCCGAAGAGCATATTTCAAGAGAAACAAGGTAAGAGAAATAAGGAAAGATGCAACGTACATGGACATAGACATAGCTTTATGACCCAGCTTGGGTCTTATTTAGCATCTAATAGAAGCTTTTTTTTGTTTGTTTTCTCTGTTTCACCTAATCCCTCCACTTTCCATCTGTATTGTCTTTTGGACTCTCAGCACTTTACTAACCTTCTTTCTTTCAGTTTCCTTCAGCTTCATGCTTGGGTTTTGTGAGAGTCAGGGAATTTAAATACTGAGAAGCATTAAGATGACTCCCAGTTTGGCCTTAGAGTCTCAGGATACTTGCTACATATACACAACTAAGAGGAGGTATCATGGAAATAGAGTAGAGGGGGGTTTTGTATGACAGGTCCCAGGGCACTGAGATCATGACCAATGGGTAAATGCTTTCAAGGCCTAAGTCTCAGTCCCATCACAGTAGTGGACATCTTTTCACTGCTGCTAGTGAGCTCTAGTTTCATACTTTTAAAGTGTATCATTACTAATAAATTATCAATGCTGCAAAATTCAGACGCTACACAGCTTTTGGGTTAGGGTAGGCAATGTTAGAACATCTGAAGTAACATCAAAGTCCCTCCTACTCAATTTAAATTTAACTCTGTCTAAAATTAGAATGCAATCCTAATATTGAACGTCTACAAAAATTGCTGTAATCACTGAAGTACAGTGCCTGAAAATGCCCTCTAGGTTGCTTCAGCAGCTGTTTTTGTATAGCAGAATGTGCAATATGTCACTTAAAGAAAAATAAAGAAGAAACACTCCAACACTTTTGTTTGTTTAAAAAGTAGCTATGTCCTTTTGGTGCTAAATAGTGTGAGACTTTAGGTAGCTTTATTGTCTTAGAAATGTTTATCATTCATAAAACCCTCTACATCCTAAATGATGCCATTTTCCCTCATGCTACAGAACATTCCAAGCCTGTCAAGTACAAACTGATTTCAGGTCTCTAAATCTGGTCTTTTACATCTGTAATAATAACAAATAAATACATATGGATTCTATATTCAAGATGCAATGTTATAGCAAATTAACCTCCTTTATAAATTTGGGTCAACTCATACTGCCAAAAAAAAAAAAAATGCCTGAAGAATTAGGTTGCAAAAATCAGTAGAGTGGAATTTTAGTGGCAGTCTTGGAGAATCAAGCTCATAGTGTCTACTGGAGCAGACAGGCAAGTAAAAGTCACATGAGTCTTCTGTGAAGACTGTTGTTTACATTCTTTTTGTCTAAAAAAAACTGTAGAGGAGGGAAATACATGCTCCTTAGATGCTCCCCATTCCAAAATAAGCTGACGTGGATGCACGTGTGTGTGTGCGCACACACGTATACACACATGCAGTTCAGTGTGCGTTACAGTGTGTAAGACACAGTCCAGACACTCTGGGCTGACAGGACACAGATCCCCGTCAGCTGAGTGCTCCTGTGACTTCCAGCCACAAATTTACATGGGTAAGATAGTTCAGATACTTCATAGTAATGGAGGCATTGTCAGTGATCCCACTTAGGTGGTCCTGTGTGTTCAGAATTGATGAGTACCAGATAATTTGGGAAACCATGGAGATGCAGGTGAAAGAACAGTAGTTCTTAGTGGATTCTTTTTCACCTACATCTTAGATCTTGAATCAGGAGGTTTAGATCCCTACTGAATGAAAATAAATACATCTTAACATAATGCATAGGTATTCTTCAAACTTATAGTAACCCATTAATAGCTGGGTTCAGTAATAGTTTATGACCATGAATTCAATCAGTCAGACAGTATATGAAAAAGTTCCCCTTTAGCTGATTTACTTTTTATTATGCTTGTGCTTTATTGGAGGCCTCCTTGTCCTTGTATTATGAGGAGGGATGCATTAGAGCATCTCATTCTCCTTGGTTGCCTTTCCTACACCTCTGTTAACTTCTTTGGAAAGCCAAATGATGCTGAATATTTCTGTCCAGAAAACTCCCTGTATTTATAATTTATATATATATATATAGATATACACACACACATACAGACATATATATATCAATACAATAGATATTCCTAATCTTCTCATATACCATCATATACCAGTGAAATGTGCCATTATTCACTAAAAGGGTTGCAAACTGATGAAATGTCATGTGGGAGGACTTGGCAAAACATGGTGAGATAACATTTTTGATAGCCTGTTTATTGCTACATTGGCTCTGCTTCAAAGCTAAGCCAGCGAGTAAAATCTTTTTCCCCTTTGGACCTGTGGAAACCTGGAATTGCACAGGATCTGAGCAAGCAAGGAAAATCTGTAGCTGATTCTTGCATGTGTGTTTATGGCATTAGATGATCAGGGGACAGAATATTTAGGAACTGCTGCCATTAAATTAAGACAAGTACAGTAGAATTCATCAGACCCTCATGCTTCTTGGTTTACATCTCACCTGTTAGTAATAGAGTGGAACAAGAGGAACAGGATCAAAGGATCCAGGCTGCAATAGTTTCAGATTTAACTGCTGACCTTTAATCTATAACTTCTAGTCCAACAGCGTAACTGTCTTCTCCATGAATCTAATGCCTATTTATGTATTTAAGAAGGTATGCCACTCTACACTTTCTCATTTTTCAAACAGAGGAGCAAAATAGTCACATTTCACCTGCCTTATGTATGTTTTAAGCAGTGGATCTCCACCACAATATAGTGTTGTATTACATTAAATATGTACAGCTGCTGTGTTTCTGGGAGCTGATAGGACTTTGTGGTCACTTCATTTAAGGCTTGAATTTCCTAATGGATCACGTTAAGCAATCTTCCCTCCCTCCCCTAGACAAGAAGTGCTGTAATAAGCACTTGCTTAAAATGATAGGACTGTTTAAACAGTAAAGAGTAAGTCATCACTAATGTCTCAAAACAGCACTAAGTAATATTGCAAATTATCCATCCCTGAATGGCAATTGCTGTGTTCAGAATTAGGCCTTTTGTCATCATCCTGATGAATAAAATCATCTCCCGTACACAGGGCAAATGCACGCCGCAGTGCTGCATGCCCCATAGATTCCCAGCTGGGAGAGGGCTTGACAGGAGACCACACTGAAGTGCCATGAAAGTGCTCCAGAAAGCCCCAGGTCATCTGGGCACTGACTGCTCCCAACTTCCAACTCCTTCCCAGCCATCTCCTGCAGTAGGTTTAGCAAGAGTAGCATCACTGGAATAAGCTGGCAACTTGCTGGCCTCGGAAGCTTCTGGACCCAAGTAGTTTAGGCAGAGGTGCTCATCAGTCCTTCCTGCCTTTTGTCCTGGTGGAGCTGAGTTTATCTGTGCTCCAGAAGCTGTGCCTTGTACCCTGCATCTCTACATAGCCAGGGTTGTCAGGAAGCTTCATGGCTGGGACGGGGAGTTTGTAAGGAAAAGGACTTCTGCAACTTTAGGTTGCTTTTCTTGTAAGAAATGCAAATTTTACTCCAGGTATCTTGAAGTCATGACCATGGAAAATTATCTGTATCAGCAGCCATGCCTTACAAGAATAGAAATGAAATCATGTTTTGAAATTATACTGGGTCTCCTAATAGAGTAAGTTTGCCTAAATTACCAGAAATAAATGAAGAAAAAATTAAGGGTTTTACTCTATTAAGTGAAACACAAAGTATTTAGACTAGGTCAGATTTAGAAAGAAACCTAAAAATACCACCACTACCACCCCCAAACAAAAATAACCCAAATCTACATTCCTTCTCCTGCTTGGTCTATTTTGCATAGTCAAATACACATAACAAACTACCGTATAATGATAATGTGTTGTGCATAATACCAATTAAAAGGAAGCTTTGCAGGAAAAAGGAGCATTTGGTACTAATGTTTGTAACTGAAGATTTAAGATTTGGAGCTGTTCTGATGCTCCCTTCCTTGGAGATTTAATTTTATAGGCTATCTAATATAAAGTTAAGTACCAAAGAGTCACATAACAGCAAAAAGCACTAGACCACCAAGTTTCAGAATATTAAATTTAAAGGGAATGATTGGCTTCATAATTGGATCCAGTGAGTTTGAAGCCTGAAAAGATTAATTTTGAAATTAAGTTTATTGACTCAATGGGTCAGAAAACAAATTTATTATGACCAAATAGCCAAACACAGAATGAGGGCTGAATTCATAGAGGCTCTGTTCACAGATATATTAAAGGATAATTTACTTGATTTGACTAAGACACTGGAGACAAAGTGACTGCAAGGTTGTCAGCCAGTATTTTATATTTGACCTTGTTCCTGCTTTGCACTGCCTCCCAATCAGGAAAAAAAGATAGATGCTTTTGATTACAGTGCAGTCAAATTTCATTCATACTAATAAACAAAGAAGCATAAATCAAAAAGTGAAAGCAAACTACTCTTTAGCACCACAAAGATGTAAACAACGGTGGCTTTTTCTCCCTCTACAGGATAGTGATGGACAGCACTGTGTTGAAGTTGGTAGTGGAGACAGGGAGTGTGTTTTAGGGTCTTTGATCTGATCTGTGTGGCAAGAATGAACGTGAACAATCAAATGGAGCTATAAGAAGTCCTTCACGTTTATTTAGTCCCAAGTTCTGTTGCATTAGACAGTTCCTTACATTTTCAAATCATATTTAAATAATTATAAAAGTGCATGCAACATCATAAAGCTTTAGTACTCCTGCCTGCGTAGTTTTTTGGTTAACTAAAGTATATCACTATGTAATTAATATGGACATGTATATACAAACACATCCTAAAAACTGGGAGTAAACAGAAGCTATCATTCCCCAAAATTATTACTGAGGGTTGTCAGAGAAAGTTCTCTTGATTTCAAGCTTAATTGTGCAACCTAACAGTGCATGAGAAATATTTAACAATCTCGCTGTTAAGTCAATGAGTAATGGCAAAAAAAAAAAAGCTCCTTTCATCTCTTTCTTATGCATCTGCAAAATTTAATTTGTAAAATGATCATCATTCATTGAAATTTGGAATGCTTAAAGCATCTTGATGCGTATAATGCCCCTGACAAAAAAGGAAGAAAGAAAAAA